CGAAACTCCACATTTAATTTATTTCTGTTCTTAGTTAAGATTGAATTTACGTGACTGAAACCGGCTTCAACCATATAGGAACTTGGAAATGCTATCATAAATGGCTGAGCTATTTCGTAAAGTCTTACATATTTTTGCATTATATTTATATTTGTCCAAAATTTGCTTATTGTTAAATTTTTAAAAAGCGTCTTTGCTTCAAATCCCCATAATAATTTAGCAAGCTCATCTTGCAGGTTCATGTCCACGTTTTCACTTTGAGCAGAAAATGGCACAATAATCCAATCAGGGATGTCAATGTTTTCCAAATCAACAAAACGCAGTTTAAAATCGTCGCTCAATTTTTGAAGATTACCTGCATAAATTTTCAAGTCTTCTTTTATTTCTAATTGTCATATATCTGAAAAAAATTCTGATAATCCTTCGACCAATCGACCCCCTGGCTCAGATCGACCCACGCTTATGTTAAATAGACACCTGGGGGTCTATATAGACCACTTTGGCGACCTCTGGTGTAGAGAATGGAACAACATCCATGCCTTGCCTCGGATTTGAACCCAGAACCTTCCTGAAACAAGGCCAGTTCCCAGTCCTGTCAGCTTTTTTAAAGTATAAAAATACAAACTAATTGTGGCAAGATTTCGCAATGGGAAAATAATCATGCACTAATTTGTATGCTTGTTTGCTTTTAAATGTTTTTTTTTTTCTTCTTCTTTTTAATCAGCACAGCATTTAAAGCTTTTATGGTTTACTCTAGATTTAAGGTTTACCAGAACCCACATTTCTATAAACTTTGAAATAATAACAATGAAGGTAAATTAGAATTCAGATGTAAAAATTTTCCAGCGCTATGGAGTACTCTTAAATACGTCATTAAGTGCCGTTAGGTTGTAAATAGAGTGCCGTACTTCCTACTTTCAATCTACTTTCAAGAAATAAAATATAATGTTATGTGCATCCTTTCTTCCGAAAAATCAACAAAATAAAAAATATTCCTTATTTCAGCAAACAAATAAAATGGACCAAAAATTCTTATTTATTTACTTATTTTGTTATTTCTGAAAGCAATGCAAGTCTCAAATATAAAACATCATTTTTAGAAGACAAATCTAGAAATAAACTGTCGGAAATCAACAGTCAGAAATGAAGGATACCATTGTTTTGTTATGAACTTTTGTTACTTCAGCGTCCTATTGTATTTTTTTTCAAAGAGGCACTAAATTATACACTTTAGGCAACTATTTTAGTGTGTTACGCTACTTTTGAGACTTGTGATAGAAATACACTCTTTAGTAATTAGATAAAAATAAATAGAAATACACCAATTTTAAACAAGTATTTTGGAGTACAAGTTTACATTTTCAAGTGAAGGGAAAAAACGCAGCAAGGGGACAAATTTAATTACAGTCATGCCCTATTGGAGTGGCCTAATATACAGGTTGTTAGAGAAGACAGAGTATTAGCAACTCTGAATCAATATTATTATAAACTGCAATTTAAATGAGAATAAATAAATAAATTAATTAAATTAAATAGAAAAAAGTAGAGAAAGAAAGACTTTAAAACTTATCAGAGCTTATAAGGTTGTTACAGGAACTTTTCAAGCGATTTCGTTCTAATTATGTCTAATCGTCTGCAATAATTAATTTGGAAATCCGATTAGTAATTACTATTTATTATTACTTCACGTAGTATGACCCATTCTTAATGGCTATAAGGAGCAACCTCACATATGCTAATTATTTAGAGCAGACGAATAGGCAAAATACAAAATTTGAACGAAATCAGTCAAATAGTTCCTGAGAAATCAAAATTTGAATATGCAGCTTTTTTAAAATTCGATTTCTCAAGAACTATTTAACCGATTTCCTTCAAAATTTCTATTTTGACGTATAAAATTACAATTTTTAAAATGATGTGAAAATTTGTATACCTTACAATAACTAAAAACGAATTTTGTAATTGTGCTAAAAAAGTTTTTTTATTTGTGTAAAAAATATACGCCAAAAATTAATATTAAGGTGCTCCTGACCAAACAATTTCCCAGACTGCGGCTACCCCTTATATTTTGAACGTAAGGAATAAAAATCCGTCGAAAAAAGCATGGTTTCGCAACTTAAAATAACTTCGCCCCTTTAAACCATTTATATTGAGTCCCAGTAGTACGCGGAGATTCGAACACTAAATCAAAAGTTATTCAAAGAATCCCGTATTTTTTTCGCATTGTCACAGCTTAAAATTAAATAAGTTTCAGTTCTGATATGGTATATAAGTCAAGTTCAAAAAATTCGCATGGAAGTTTCCACAAAAAGGTACTTATTTTGTTAAGTTCCGAGAATGAAAATATNGAGCAATTTCCGTTTGACAAATTTCAAAATAACGTGCCTAATATCCTATTGTGAGCTTTATTATTTCACAGTTTTTTTATTTCTTTAAATGAGTTGTAAAATGAGGAACACCTTACAATTCTATTTCTTTTTCAATGATGTATTAATCAATATATCTCCCCTACTTATTTTGTTAAGTTCCGAGAATGAAAATATTAATGTGGACACTCAACGAAATTTTTATAAATTTTCGTCGCGCGGAATTCAGAAAATATTTTCATACTAAAAAGTGCGCAACAATTTGTTTGAAAATATCTATGTAGGGGAAAGTGGGGTAAGACCGGATGGATAAGATTTTAAGGCCTGTCGGAACTAAACTAATAGTCCTAGAAACTATCAGACTTAAGATATTCATTATTCAGTTATGTACAATATATCATTCATGAAAAGTCTTTGATGTACTACTTTTTCTATAAATGATTTCTCCTAGAAAAAGTAAAATTACTCAGTCTCACCCTGGGTGCACAAGTTAACTCCATGGGAAATTTAGAAACACTAGAATTACAGTGCCCCAGGCCCCCGAGTAAAATTCATTACAAAAAATATAGTACTTATTATTAATTGGATCTGTAAAAGAAAATTGAAGAGAATTTCTTTATAAAAGTTACAATTTATTTTGAGGAGGCTTCAAAAATTCTGCAAAATGTTAAAATAAGGCTTTTTGTTGTTTAAGGAAGGGGCCTGCACTAAATTTTTTTGGGGCCTGCATGACCTTTCAGCCTTGGATGTAGTAATCTTCTCGATCCGCTGCACTACAGCATCCGTAGGAGCAGCGTAGACACTCATAAAGGAAGGGGAGCGGACGAAGTCTTACCACGCACGAGAAAACTAAAAATAGTTTTTATAACTGTAATAACCAATAAATAAGGATAGCTTAAAAAGAGAATATTAGAGTTGACACAGTAAAATTAACTTATTTACACTTACGCTGTGAATAAATCAACAAGTCAATATGGTATGTCCTTCATGTTGGCTAGTAAGTGCAATTCTAAGTTAGTCCGCTAGATTGATAATTTCTACACAATCAATTTACTCGGTTTTTACCCATTTTCCTATGTCGAAATTGTTTTCAAACAAATTGACCCTCGCTGTTAATATGAATCTAACTTCAATTGAATTCCACATGTCGAAAAAGTATAAAACATTTTCTAAGTATTCATACGTATGACAAAGATTTCCGGACTATGAATATAGCCCGCATTGGACAGTTCAAATCCCTTTTTTTTTTCAAAATTCCTATAATATTTCTAGATATATACGTTAGTTTTCCAAATGAATTACCGCTCAATAGTTAATATGAATTTAGTTTCAATTGAACTCTGCATGGCAAAAAATTCGCGAATTTTATGCATTTATTTATTGTAATTTTCTTTCAAAATTCCTTTAGATATTTCTCGACTTATATATAAGTATATTAAATTAATTGACCCCGCAACATGTCCACACTTATGGTAGGGATTTCCATACTCTAAATTTAGCATGTATTGGACAATTCAAATTCTTTTTTCATAATTCCTAAAGATTTTTCGTAATATATATTTGATTTTTTCGAATGAAATAACATTAATTTGTTAATATGAATCTAATTACAATTGAATTCCTTACATCAAAAAATAATAAAAAATTCGCAAATTATGATATTACACATCCACAATTATGATAATGATTTCCATAAATTAAACTTGGCCTGCATTGCACAGTACAAAAATTCTTTTTTTGTTTCTTCTTCAAAATACCTCTATTTCTGAATGCATTTTGGTGCTTTCAACTTAATCAACGCTCACTCGTTAATATGAATCGAGTTTCAATTGAATTAGCAAAGTATAAAAAATTCGTATACTGTCCACACTAATTGCAGCACTGTCCAGACTATGAATTTATCTGCATGGGATAGTCTGAATTCTTTTTTCAAAATTTCAATGAATATTTGATATATATAGGCATTTTCAAATGAAGTAAAGCTCACTTGTTAATATGAATCTAATTTCAATTGAGTTCGTAAACTTTCCCCACTAATGGCAGCGATTTCCATCCCGTATAGAACAATGAATAATTCAAATTCTTTTTTAAAATTCTTATATATTTTTATAAATATATACGTATGTATGTTACTGTGACTGATCGAAATTGGTGGTTGTTGACAATATAGTCGTTTGGTAAAGGTTCAAAATATATACTAAGTCTATATAAGTACCACTGCCCAGTATGCATTTAACCGGTACTCTGAACATTGATGTTCCTCCTAATCTATCCTCAGTACATATCAAAATATCGAATAAATTTATCAAAATACCGAATATCAACAAATAAATTAAAATCAAATCGGATACAACAAATATACATTCACCAAAGCAACTATGTGATAATGGGAAAGTCGACATTCTCTTGATTTCGATCATGCACAGTAACATGTTCTCAAGTGTATTACGCTCATTTCTTAATATGTATCTAGGGCCAAGAGGATGAGAGTTCGCAGGTCTGCAATATTTGTGCTGCTTTAACTATATCAGAAGTTACGGCCATAGCATGCTAAGCTTAAGAACTGCAAGCGCAGATGTTTTTAGCACGCTCATAATCGTCAAGCCCAGAATGGGACAGATTATCCATAAAATTGAAAAAAATGAAATACTGGTGTGGATAAATAATCAAATTTGCAATCTAATTACAAATTTCAAAATTAATTAGAATTCTTATTAGCTTTATAAAAGTATTGTGAGATGGATTGTACATCTTTAAACATAAATGAGTGGTTGCAAAGGAATTTAATTTGTTAAATTAAATTAGCTCAGAAATTAGTAAAAAAAAAATTCTTTTAAAAAATAAACAAACTGCCATTGCTGTAAACTCTGCTTTTCAGGAAATTTCAACGTTTCTCAGTCTTATAATGCAAAAATTATTGGATGAAAAAGACTATCTCGTTAGAGAAATACTTCTGAAACATCCTGGTATAATAATTCTTTTTTTGAAAAATATGTGACAAATGTGAACTACGAGTACATTAAATAAAAGATTTAAAAGGAATTGGCCAACAGTTTAGGATTAAAAATTACTGTACTACTAAAGGAATAAGAAGTATAGGAAAAAAAATTTGTTAACTAAATGTTCTTTGACGGACAAACATATTTCAAAAGTTCAACTTTCATTTCTTAATAATTATACTTAATTACCAAATATTTAATTGCTTATTAGGAAAAAAGGCAATTTAGGAAGAAATAAAAACAAATGCAAATGAATTGTGGGGGATGGTGAGCAGAGTGAGCAGGGGGCAAAGCCTCCTAGTTATGCACAGTTTAAAATAAAGAATTCAAACAAACATTAGTAGGAAACTTTTGAGCAATTTCCGTTTGACAAATTTCAAAATAACGTGCCTAATATCCTATTGTGAGCTTTATTATTTCACAGTTTTTTTATTTCTTTAAATGAGTTGTAAAATGAGGAACACCTTACAATTCTATTTCTTTTTCAATGATGTATTAATCAATATAAGAAACAATACCACGCAGCTACAGGGTCGAATAAGAAAACTTTCCTAAGATACAAATAAATTCCAACTGTTAATATTATCCTTTTTACTTTATTATAAGTTATAAACACCTTAAAAATAAAGAATCAAAATAAATAGAAAAACTGAAGTAAATTGTAATAATTTTATTTAGTGTACAAATGAAACAGCAAGTGTTTTAAATGGTGCTTTATTCTGTAATTACAATATCACGTTTATTTCATTTATCAAAAATTTAGAACCTCTTTTAAATTATATTAAAATATGATAAAAATACATTGTCTTTACATTAATACTAATTCAATAAGAGTTAAAAAGCATGAATAACAATAAAATGAATCCAAGTAACAGATGATAAAATGCATGATGAAAAAAATAAGAAAAAATTAATACTTATATACAAAACATGTCCAAATGAATTCAATCATCTTTTAAATCCAAAACAGCACTAAATAACACCTTTCACCATCAAAAACTTTGCCATAATTTCTCGTAATTCTAGAAGTATTATTTCTAATGAAAATAGTTTAGAGAAATTGTCATATGAATAAAGGAAAGAAAAACATTACATAGTGACAGTACATAGTTGCATAAACAAAATTCAAAAATATTAACCTAAACCTTATTAATATGAAGAAAAAAAACTAAAAATTTCTCAGTAACAGAGATGAAACGATCTGAATCAAGGACGCACAACCATTCTTGTATAGCAGGCCAATAATAAGATAAAACTGTAATCCTAAAAATTCAGGCTGCATTTAAATTCTAATTTAAAGTACTAATTTGTATAAATTACACAGGCACAACTAAAGATACCATAAATTAAATAAGTATATAAAAGTAAATTGTTACAAATATAGCTGGAAGATAAAAAAGCAAACAAATTATCACTAATTAAAGGGGGAGGGGGGAAAGAAAATTGCAAAGCTCATTAAAAATTAATTTTTACAGCTATCACTGAACCCATAAACAAAACTTAAAGGCTAGATATGATACACCAGCAACTTACTTTTACTTGTTACTTTTTTTAAAATTTTTATTAATATTTATGTCAGCTCAGGGATCAAATGAACAGACTTCATCGGCCAGTTTTGGTTCAAAGCATAGGTTGTACATCCTAGCTGAATACAGCATTAGGAGAAACGAAATATTACATAAAAATGAATAGACAGTAAACAATTCTCTGAACAATGAAGATAATTGTTTCGAAATATATTTGTTCAATTGTTTAAAAATTTCATCTAATAACTATTTAAGTTCCAATGGATTATTATTAATGTCATAAAAAGAGCACAAACGTAATAATGGAAATCAATAATAAATCATTAACTTACTCACAAAACAATGTTTTCAACTATCCAGGATATTAAAATAGTTCAAAGATGCAAATGCTTTCAAATAATCATGTTAGTGTCAAAAAAATTTTTAAGTGAAAAATTACATACAATTGCAAGATATTGCATACTGAAAAGCATTCAAAAAACATTTTGAGACTGAGTTTTTTTTTTTTCTTTTAAAAAAGCAGCATTTAAACAAAACTTTTTTTCTCAAAACAGTTTTGTTTTGATATTTTGAAGTATCTTCATAGAAGATAGTGAATTTATTCAATGAGTTTTTTAGCTTTGAAGAATCTCCTAAGATACAAAACTTGCCATGTAGCTAAAGCTAGAAGAATGCCCATAGAAAATATACTGAAATAAAGCACTCTGGTATTTGTAGATTCTGAAAAACAAAAAAAATAATTGAAGGTTAATAAAAATAATAATAAAAAAAATACATAACATACTTTTTCCTTTTCGTAAAAGAAATTTCTTGTGTTATTCAAGTCAAGGATTAAAAAGGACTACTTTTGGTCTGTTAATACGTCAAAAAAATTCCCTAATTAGATCTTCTTGTTGAAGAAGAAATTTTCTTAAATTCTAAAAAATATATACTAGATACAAGTACTAACATTATTATGAACATTTATGGTATTTTAGGAAGTTTTTTCCTCACTTTTTGGTTCATTAGAACCCCTCCCCCCTAAAAAAAGAAAAAAAAGAGTGATAATGGATTTTACATTCATTGGAATAAATTTAATTTTTAAAATGAAGCTTTAGCACTTGTAAAATCTGGCATAAGTAAAATTTCAATGACATAAAAATTCTAAGAATTCATTATAAAATAATCCTGAAAAACAGGCAAAATTGAAGACATTCAAATTAACTAATTAGAATAAAACCATATAGCTAAAAAAAATTTCAACTACAAAGCCTCCAGTTATAATTTTTAAGATAAAAATTGAATTAAAACACTCACTTAATGCTTTCTACTTTCTATTTTTGCTCATAGATAACACATGAATGAACATTACAACCCTTAATAACTTAAGGCTACATAGAATTGATCAGATTTTCTATATTTCAGCTACACAAAGTAAAATATTGATTATTAAAAAACTAATATTTCTCTTTCCATTTAAGATAAATTCACTAATTACGATAATAATATTCACTTGATTTAACTGATAAACACGTATAATTCAAGTATAAACAGCAAATAAAAAATTTAAGACAGGAAAAAAAAAGTGTAAGAGAAATTTAGAAAGTGTTGGTCTGAGAGTATCCCATTCTAGTATAGTAAAAACGTCAGTAAGTAGTATGGGCACAATTGGTGCAGGGGACAGTGGGTATGTGCCTCACTCAATAATGATATGACAATAAAATGGTATTATATTTAGAGATAATAAAATGGACACGAACTAAGAAGTAATAGTACTCTAATTGATATCAATTTAAATATTGAGTAGAAGAAATAAGTTTTTTTTCATATTACTTTTTTTGATGCGCAAAATTTTTAAACTATTGTAAATAAGAGTGTCTCTTGCAAGTGTAATTTTAACATCATCTCATCATCAAAAAATTGGACGCCTGAGATGCCCATACCAAAAAATAAGTCTTTAAAAAAACTTGCAATGTATTGAGAATGTATATCAAGAAGATATATTTAATTTAATGACATTTTAATAATATTGAATTTATAAGTTCATACATTGATCTTTAAGGCATGATCTTAAGGATCTTTATTTGCTTTAAAAAAAAAATGTTAAATGGAATGAACATCTAACATTTCATAATTAGTTTATTAACTGTAAAACTCGACACAAAAATTACACACAGGTCACTCTAAAAGCCCCAGAAATAAAATTATAGATTATAGCTAAATGTGGTATGCAGAAAGGGCCATATTTGTTTATAAATTTAACAAATATGTATATATTCCTTTTCTTTTTAGAAATTCCACTCTGTTCCAAAATCATTGCAATTTTAAGTGCTTTTTTCACAAATTTTCTCATTTTCGTTTCTCATTCTTATTGACTTTGCCTTATGTTATATTTTGCTTTGCTGCATAAAGTTAATAAGACTTCGTTCGAAATTACGAAGGCAGGCAAAAAATTATACTGGGAGTACTAAATGTTAAAAATAGCAGGTTTAGTTGACCTGTAGCCATCTGCAATGTAACTACTGAATTAAGACTTGAAATGCTGAAAGAGCCTTTTCATTTACGAATCAAACATGATTTTTTCCCCAAAATTCCAGTTTGTACAAAAGTTATTGCAATTTTAAATATATACCTACATATATTTTATAAATAATACATATTTTTTTCTACATATATTTTTAAATAATGATTATTAATCCATTGCTGTAGAAAGTTATATTTCTTTTTCTTAAGATATTCATTTTAAAAACTCATACTGTACTTGAAGTGATATAAAAAAAATGATGAGAAAAAAAAGCGAAAGAGATTAGATGTTGCCAGATATAAAACTATTACAGGCTGATAAACAAGACACTATCAAAGGCTGATTATTTCTTGTCTCAGTGGATAAATTGCATTGGAATCTAGGTTTTATTTGATTCATTGCAATGAATCCACTATTACAGACTGATAGGCAAGGAGGAATGCTGGAATCTAGGTTTTATTTGATTCATTGCAATGAATCCACTATTACAGACTGATAGGCAAGGAGGAATGCTATTTCCGATTAAAATATTTAATGGCATGCAAAGATTTTTTTAAAATTCCTAATAGGAATCTCTACATGACAATATAATTTTTAAGCTCTGATGCATACAGAATTAGACAAAATACAGAAGCTAAGTCATCAAAATATTTACGATTGAATCTTTAATTCAAATAGATTTTTACTATTCATTTTAAGTACCAACAGTTGAAAACCTGGAAAGCATGTAGACATTTTGGAATTTTTTGAGTACCATTTGTAAATATGGTTTTAAAAAAAATTATTACTAGTACCATTTGTGTCCCTCATCTCAGCTTCTCGTTGTCTCATGTAAGCAAAGTCCTTCACAATTGATTCTGATAAGTCTTCGAGTCTTTGCAATTCAACTTCAAGAGGTTTCAAGCGGCCCATATCAGCAACCTTAAGGGAGATGAAACATTTTATTGCATGATATGAAATCAGTTTCAAACTAAATAAGCAATTTTATTTAGAGTTTAAAAAATTAAACAGACAAAATTTTGTTACAAATAATGAATTGAAAATGTATGAAAATAAATAAAGAAACAATGGACTAAAATGCGATAACGGCAGTATAATTATAAAAAACTTTAGTTGAAAAAATTAGGTATCTACAGCAAAAATATTTATGATGCAAACAAAAGATGAATCATTTGGGGAAATTTTGACCAAATACTTTTTTTCTCTCTTCAGCACAAACAACTAAGCTTTTGATATTTATAGCAGATTGCAGCTCATTTTCTGAAGATCACGTTAATAGAAAATTCATCATGGCTTCAAGGCTTTTCCCCAATGTGTTTCCCAAGCTGGCTGTTATTCTGTTTCATCGGTATCACTTTGCACGTCAGCTTACTTCTGCAAACATTTCTTGAGCTGACAGCACTCAAGATTCAACATTCTCATCAAGTTAAGCATAAATATCAAATGTGTTGTTGTCTGAGGTATTTCCTCTAATTGCAATAAATTTTAATTTCCTTCCTCAGATCCGGTAAACAAAATAACTTTAATATTTTCTAAATGTCGATAGAATTTTTGAATGGTAAACCTGAGAAACTGCCAGTTTGAAAAACAATGAAAACAAGTATTGAGCAGAAACACTATAAGAATAGCATTTGCAACAAGATTATAAAAAAAAAGATAATAAACATGAAACACAAAAGGTACAAAAACAACAGATCAAGGTTTGACAATGTAAATTTTGAAAACTTATGACCTGAATTAAGTAACACAATTAAAATAAAGTTAAATATTCAATAGTTATTATATAGTTAACATAATATAAATGAAGAACTATAAAATTATATTAGAATGAACACATACAGCATCATAGCTCTTAGCCTCCACACCATGTTTCAAAGTTAAAACTACTTCTCTATCTTGTGCTCTTTGACCTGCAAAATCAAAAATGAAATAACTTACAAATCTTACTTATTATAAATACAAAGATATTTTCAACTAAAACACTATATTTTTTTACAGTAATTTTGTTATAATGTAAGTTCAAAATTCAACTCGCCTATATTTAGCAAAACAAATGTTTTTATTTTTTATTTTTTAAACAGTTGCTGATAATATTAGTTTTATATAAAAAGCTGTCTCAGATAATGAGATTCACAAACACTCATCTTTAATCTTACCATCTAATAAATATTCTTTTAAATTTTCCACATTTTTTTCTCATGAACAATATTACTTGTTTAGATTTTTTTTTCAAACAAAAAAAGGGAACATAAAAAGATAGAACTTGCAAACGGTAATCATTTAAAATAAAAGAATTATTCCATGTTCTGCATCTTTGTCAAACAATATAATAAAGAATTGATATCATATGAACAGATACTAAGTAATAGTAATGTATCCATAATAAAAACTAAATCATAACAAATCTTCAAATTTTATTTATCCTTATTCTTTTAAGAAGGCAGACTGAATGAAATTTAATTTTTTTAATAAACCAAACATAATAAAAATAAAAGAAATGAAAAAAAAAAAAGAAAAAATATAATTAGCTATATATACATAAATGACTAATTTATTAGAATATTGAGACAAAACAATCATATAAACATTATGATGAATATAAAGCATACCAGCGGGTGTTTTTGAAATGAAACAAGCTTCAAATACATCATAATCATCAGTAACAAATGCAAATTTCCCTTTATCTACATTTTCCCTTGATACTAATATATGACCTTTTGTATCAACAACCTGAAAAATAACGTAATTTGTAATTATTAAAACATTTTACAAGGAGCAATAAGTTAGGTACATGAGTAAAAACACAAATCAATGAAAATAGAACGAAATTAATGGAATTTTTAGAAAATCCTGTACATTTGTAATTTTTAGAAATCAATTGAAGCAGCAGAATCTTGTATCTATTTACAATTTAAAAACTTCTTGAAAAGGTTTTTTGCAATAATAAGACCCTATTTGCGCAAAATCACAAAAGCTGGACCCTGGTTGAAAGAATGTGACTTAATGCTTATTTTATATTCACAAATTATGAATAGTTTTTGGAATAAGTTATATAATAGTTTTCACAAATTATGAATAGTAGAACCTTTCACAAAAATTATTCATTAAAGACCATCTCCACATTTGCATTTTTTCTTCCTTTTTTTAGAAAAAAAACTTATAAAGTAAAAATATTTTTTAATTGATTTAACTCTTTCAGTTGACTTAATAAGTCACATTCTTTCGACCAGGGTCCCACTTTTGTGAATTTGTCCAAATAGGGTCCTGTTATTGCAAAAATCCTTTTCAAGAAGTTTTTAAATTGTAAATAGATACAAGATTCTGCTCAACAATTGCTGCTACTAAATTAGAGATGCAACATGCATATATTTGGTATTTAGCTTATACTGCTCACACAGAATATTCATTTCGAACGAATAATGGAAACAAAATTACTCACATTTTTAATAATTTCAATTGACATATTCTAAAGAACATAACTCAGTAATGTATCACTTTTAATGTATTACGCATTAAGTAAACGGGGATATTTCCGTATCGTGATCTGTCGTGCCAACTACGGTTGCCAAGGTGCCAAATAGATTTTGAACTTGCTAATATTTTTTTAAAAAACACATGTAGATGTTTCCCCGGGGGTGGCTACGAGTTATACCTTTCGAATTGGTTCCTTTTTGTGATATTTTTCTTAGTTTCTCGTGGGCTACTGCCCGGAAGTTTCCAAGACTTGACGATTATTCTGCCACACATCACGATACGGAAATCTCCCCAAGTAAACAAACAATTCTTAAATTTCTAATATTTTATTTAAAAAATTGCCAGAAATTAATTTTTATTTACATAATATTCCATTAATTAATTTTATGAATAAATATAAATTGATCAACAATTTATTTATAAAAAATATGATTTAATATTAATAAGAATGTGTACGTGTTGGAATTTAAATTTAGGGAAANCCCCCCCCCCCCGGGGGGGGGGTTATTCGATTAACAAATCAATAATGAAGATAAACAAATTTGTGAAGGATCCGTTCTAATGAAAAGATATTTTGTGAAAGGTCTTTTAATGGACCCAAATTTCTTCTAAATAGACCCCTGCTAGATCAATAGATGTTATATTGCTTAACAATACAAGCAGTTAAAAACCAAACATCATAGAGTATATAATTTATATAATCAGGAAACAATTAATTGGAAGAATAAACAATTTTTTTATTAGTTCTTTTTTTGAATAATGTAAAAATAAGACTTAATAATTGAGTCATATAGCCACAATGTTATCAGACAAATAGATTTTTTCGTATACTTAGGGCAATTCTGCCATTGGGTAAGCAAACACATCGTTATAATCTTAAAAATGGTCAAAAGAGAAATCGTTATCAAAACACTTAAAAATTCTTCTAATTTAGATGCATCCATGTTATTATATTTTCTGTCATCTGGAACGAAAAAACATTACATTTTGACAAATGTTTTTATTAACATGGATAGGGGTTTCACCTATATTCATCACATTTATAAACAATTTATCTAAAGCCAAAGAAACAATTACTGTAATTTAGAAATTGGCTCCGCATATAAAAGTAGATTTTGTTTCAAATGCAAAATATAGCCTCAAAAATGTTAAAAAAGTATTTTTATTACCCACTAATTTATGATAAATATTAAATTTTATGATTAAATTTACGGCAAAATATATATATATTATCAAAGGGAAGATTACGGTAATCAATCATGTAAAAATTGTGCTAATCATAAATAAATTAGTAACATAAATTTGGCATCCCTTCTTGCCCACATCTAGGAACACCACTAAGAGGAATGCAATAGTGATATTTCTAACACATTGGAGATACGATTGTGAAGTGGAGATTCGATTGTGATCTGTTGCGCCAACTACAATCGCAAAGTTGCCAAATAGATTTTAAACTTGCAAATTTTTTTAAAAAAAAACGTGTAGATGTTTGCCCGGGGGTAGTTACGAGTAATATCTTTCGAATTGGTCCCTTTCTGTGATGTTTTTTTTAGTTTCTCACGAGCAGCTGCCGAGACTTGGCGATAATTCTGCCACAGATCACAACACGAAAATCTCCCCGGAGATATCTCTGTATAGTTATTTGTCTGCGCCTTTAGTTTCTTGCGGGCCACTGCTGGTAAGTCTCCAAAACTTGGTAATTATTTTGTCACAGATAACAAAACAGAGATTTTCCCAACTCATTCAAATTTAAAAATTACTCTGGATTTGTGAATAAGCACATTATTTTTATAAACTCGATGATATTTAGGCTGAAAGGTTATGTAAAGATGTGATGCTTAGTAATACATGCCCAAAGTATGAATAACTAGCGCTTGACAGCACTAGAAACAACATGTGTAGCTATGTATGTTCTCATGATCACCAATTCTTAACATTAGTAAAATATGGTTTAGAATTTGTAAATATCGTATAAAGTTTAATATAATCATCTAATGAATTATTCAAATATGATATAAGTGATTGATGAAAAGATTTAAGGAACTCATCAAAATAATTTAAGTCGCTAAGTAAACAATCAAAACCGGTAAACAAGATATCAGTCCTTGCTAATTGAAATACAAAACAATTACCATCAAATCAGTAATGTGACCTGGAGCGTCACTTAAATCATATTCTCCACTAACTAAAACACCTTTATGGATTTCTTCTTTTAAACACCGTCTGCTATTAGCAGGTAATCTAAACATTAAACATTGGACAGAGACTGCAGTACAAGCTATTATTAAAATTTTTTGAAATGAATACATTACGAATCAGACGTTTTATAACTGAAAACAATTTTTGTTTTTCATACAAAATAGAAACATATACAAAAATACTACAATTAAATACGAAAAACTTATAATCAGACGTGGCAAGACAAGAAAACAGAAACAAGCACAAGCATCATCATCAAATTGAATGTGAAATGAGTTGAGTTGTACTAGAATGTACAATCATGCTTATGGATATATTTGGAAAAAAAATTTATAAGAAGAGAAGTAATTGGGAAATGCTTTTACTTTTAATGCTCCTACTTACTGTTCGTACTTTTTATTATATTTTTCAATAATTTTTACTTCATTCTTAGGGACCGTATCGCGTATGACGATTCGCATTGCCAATCAGGTTCCCGATCATATCTTTGAATTTGCACATGCGAAGTTTTAGAATACAGTGAGAATGGCCTTATGTATTGACACGAGCGCCACTACTATTCATTGTGCTGTTGTTGCATTGTGTTGGAATACGTGCTTTTGCCTCTATTCCCTTGTCTCCTATAAACTAAACTGAGTCGAACCTCGCCCGTCTGAACTGAACCAATACGCTAAAGTAATGGACCAGTCATTGACATTGGAGAGGTTAAAAAGAAATCAAATAAAATGAATAATACGGCAATCTGTTTGAAATCGAAACATTAAATCATCTCAATACCATGAATTTATTTTTTTCACCAAATGAACTTCAGTATTGATGGATAAATGTAGTACAGGTACGAATAAAAAAATCACTTCTAGCCCTTTTTTAAGTACCCTCACAATTTTTTGTTCTAAAATGCTATTCTAGACAGCTAGCATCAAATCTAATAAATATAATGATAACAGCTGTGAAGTATTAAATTAGTTGCGAATGTGAATAAGACAGGCGTTGTTGTTTATCTATACTATGGGGGAGAGAGCGTGATTTTTTTTTTCTATAGTCAATTTTATATAATAGTTTATTTTCTATATTTGTTTTTGCTTAACATTTTTCTTCATTAATTATGTATGTGTGTAATAGTTAAATGTAAAGTTTCGATTTCCTTTATTTTAATAAATTTAGATACGTTTATTTTTTTATTACGTACCTATCACTTGCTGCTTACATGACGAATTCCAGATTCCTCATTTCGGTGTTAACCTCATAGTTTCTTTCATGATTTTACAACCATGAGAATTATAGATATTTGATCAAAAAATCATCATTTACGTTTAGTATAGTTTGATGTGAAGTGACTTGTTTGTTATTAGTTAAATGTTATTGCTCAAACTATGCCTACCATTTAACTTTAAGTATTTGGCGATTTGAAACCTGTAATTAATTTCCTTTATATAATGTGATTATCCACATTGGTTAATATTTGTATAAAGCTTATGTAATGCTTTAATACTTAAGAATGTATCTACAAACTCATTAACACAAATTGAAGCAAGTTCTTTTTTAAATGACCAAAGTACATTATTAAAATATTTCTTCATTATTAAACACGAATATCCTGGCTTGATAATATTAATTGTATATCATATTATTTTGTTTTATAAATTATATCAAGCCAGTACATTGTGTTTAATATAATTATTACTTTTTTTTGTTGTACTCTACAATGATTAACAAACCTTAGTAAAGTAGATTTATATTCAGTATAGTGCTTATTTTATGCCAATTATTGATATAAAAGTGAAAAATCAGTTAAGAGTAAAATATCAAATATATTTAAAGTGTCATTTTGTGTATAAACTATGAATAAATCTGTAATTTATCTGTATATTGTTACTATAATATTTTATTTTATAATCAAAACTGACCAATGTTCTTATTATATTTTTTTAAATATACTGAATATTTCATCTATTACATAGGGTTGTAGTTCATGATGTAAATTTTTTGTTTAATTTATTAATTTTCTCAAAACTTAACACTGAGACTTTGATGCCTGTAGATAACAATGATTTAAAAATTAATATATTTTTAAAATATTTTTCTTTTAATGTATCTTGCAGTACAACTAGAAAATTTTTCTGCATGGGGTCTTAAATTTGTAGTTTTTAAGTTCATAAATTTCATTCATAGACCATTGCTATAAATGTTTCTTTCTTTCTCTATATTTTTATTGCTCTCTATATTTGTTCTCTATATAGTTCTTTGTATTTGTTACTGTAGTTATCTTTAAATTTTGCCATTAGAAATAAAAAAAAATTTCATGAATTTTTAATATTTGTCTGACAAATATTAAAAATTTATAAAATTTTTTTTGAGATTTATGAAATTTTTTGACAAATTTTGTCATTTATGATAGGAAAATTTTTAAACGAAATTTTTTTTTAAAAATAAGTTATTGAATACCTACATCTATAAACTAATTAATAGATAAGAGAGGACTAGTATAGTCAATATTTACTAAATTGCTAAAAAAACTTGCCTAGTTTAAGCATGTCTAGTTTTTTTTTCTTTCTGTTAAACTACATTTTAACTTTTTATCTTCATTGTGAACTATTCAGAACTGATTCAAATATTTTAACTTTTGTATTAATTTTATCATTTTCACACTTTATCATTTTTCTTACTAAAGTTCTTTATATTTTGGGCAGGGTTGGGTTTTTGACGTCAAAAAGTGTTTTTTGACATGACAAGGGTATAATACTGNAAGCTCTTTATATTTTGGGATATTTAGAAAAATTTTACACTTTTTCAATCATTATCATGTAGGTCCCTATTGGTGATGTAACTTCAGCCATTTGTTACATAAAGATTGAAGCTAGAAGCACTGCAAATATTTGCATTTTTATTATTACTGTAATATTGAAGAGTAAAACTTTAATGTTTATTTACATTGTTGTTAATTTATTATGTCTCCAGTTATGAAAATCTGTTTTATAATTGATCAGTGACCAATTAATGCTTGGGAATGGCTTTATCTCCCTTCTTGGCTTTGCTTCTGTGTACATTTGCCCATATTTAGCAAACAATTATTACATATTTTTTTCTCCTTTATAACAGAAACTGAATTAGTTAGTTCTAACAATGCTTTAAAAGTGTTAGTTTTGTTTATCCAAATATTATAGTTTGATATTTAGGTTAAAATCAATAATTTTTGTAGCTCTAATTAAAAAAATATTCATATCATCCTGGCCTTTAACATATTATTCAAAATAATGATAGTCTTTCTGCTCTTTTTTCATGAGAAAGCAAATCCACTTTTTTGCAATGTTAGGAAAGCAAATAAGTAGCTATTTCATTATAAATTTAAGTCTGCAACAAATAAGTTTGCAGTCTTACACATTTATTTATGAAGTTTTAAATTAATCTATTTATTGATGAATATTTATTATTATCTTCAGTATAATTCAAATGTCTTTTCCTATAAGATGAATTTTATACAAAAATTGTTATATATAGATAATTCTTTCCATTGCTATGGCTTAGTACTCACAGTTCAATATTTTTCTGAATTGTGTTACTATTAACAATTTTGAAATGCTTATAATTATTTTAATATTTAATTTTATCTTGGGGAAAAGTTTTTTTTTTTTATATTTAGTTCAAATGATAAGAAACATTTTGTATTAAATTTTTTGTTGTTGCTCAAATCACTTTGAGTTTTAACTTTCCTCTTCTAAATTAGATGCTGAATTTGATTCTTATTGGGATAATGAAGCCAAGAACCAAAATCGAAATAGAATAAGAGTTGGACGACAGTATCAAGCTACAATACCTCCACTTTTAAAGCCTGGTAATTTGATATTTTTTTTAGTTTTCATATTTCAGCTGTATATACTACAAAGGTAGAAATTAAGAACATTTAGTCACTGGTCCAAAAGATTAGTTACTAAAACATATAATTAGTCTCTACACATTAATGCATAAAGCTTGAGACCAGCAACAAAAACAGCATATTATCTATTGCTGGTTCTGGGGACCACTAATATTCTGGTAGTCTGAGTCAAATTTTAACAGTCACATGTCCAAGGACTTCCAATTATTTCAAGCATTGTTCTATAAATTGTGGCTGTGTGTAATATGTTAATTACTCATTTAATAATTAGTTTATTAAATATTAGTCATTAAAAAAGGAAATATGATGCAGATCTGCATAAAAATTATCTTTGATTCTTACAAGTCAAATAATTTTCTGAAATTAAAAAGTAGTATATGTATTTTTTTTATCTGTATCAATCATATTTGAGTTTAGTAAAGTCATATTTACTTTTTTATCTGTATCAATCATATTTGAATTTAGTAAAGTCATATTTACTTTTTTATCTGTATCAATCATATTTAGTATTAGATTTTTATAACAGTAGTAAAAATTTGATTGATCATTAGCTGTAAAGATGTGATAAATTAAGCTTAGATTGAGACCGGATGGTTCAAAATAGTTGAGCTTGGGGATGTTGAAGTTTCCTGCCTAATTATCATTTTTCCCCCCTTGAATTATTGCAAATAAATAAGGCATTGAAGATTCTTAAATTTTTTTTTATTTTTAATGTAGGGTGACCCAGGGTAATTCAGGATCACTCTGTTTCTGGGGTAAATAATGATCACATTTTTTAAAAAAATTATTTTTTTTAAATTTGAGACATGGACAAGAAAGCTTGTACACTTTACTAAAGTATAACTACATTTACTTAATAATATTTTTTTGTTTAATCTAACAAAATAAGTATCATTTAAAATGCTTTCTGTATTTTCCATTTCAAAGATCGGTTTCAAAATATGCACATTTCTGCAAAGATCAACCCCCTTCTCTTAATAATAAATTATTTTGAGTTACTTTCTTTTTCTTTGATATAAAAATAGTGTAAGCTTTTGTTTAATTGTTTCACATCTACTGTAAACATTATAATTGATTATAGGAAACTATATCAAATGTTGCCCCCTACAGATGGGGTAATTATTGATCACTGGGGTAATTCCTGATCATTGTCATTTCTTCTTATAAATAGTATAAAAAATAGCTAATAAATAGTTAATTGTCTTTTCTTAAATAACAGTTCATATTTATTAAGTGGAACAACTATAAAATATATTTTAACTATAATCACAAAATTTGTTTTTAACTGTATACAAGACAAATGTGTTCTGATATGCACCATTTCTAGCTTGTCTTACCTTTCTTCTATCTTATTTTTATGTGTGTACATTGTTAGAATAATTTTTAAGCTGATAAATTAACCTAATATAAATATGGTGAGAAATTATATGCCTTAAAAGGATACTAAGCTTCTAGAAAGCAAAAATAGCAAATTTCTTTTAATGATTGAAAATGAAAATTTCAGTGTGAGAGCTGCTGCCAGAGCTGAAGTGTTAATCTTTATTCCGGCTTTTAAATAAAACGTTTTAATAGGTGCTTAAAAATATATTTTTGGTTTATTTGTTTGATCTTAATGTCTTATTTGTTAATTACCATTGTATAATTATTTTTAAACAGCCCATTTACTATAAAAACTGGTGATCAGTAANAAATAAAACGTTTTAATAGCTGTTTAAAAATATCTTTTTGGTTTTTTTGTTTGATCTTAATGTCTTATTTGTTAATTACCATTGTATAATTATTTTTAAACAGCCTATTTACTATAAAAACTGGTGATCAGTAATTAACCCAGAAATGATCAAGAGAAGGGGTAATTCCTGATCACTAAAAATTTATAATCTCTTAAATTCTAATTGGATTTTCAAACAAAAGAAGGTAGCATAGGAGTCATCTTATATAGCCTCAAATTTCTAGTAAATATTAAAATTCTATCTTGAATAGTTTTTTCACAAAATAGATGTTTGTATTTTTTGATCAGGAATTACCCCAGGTCACCCTATACACATTGAAGTTTAAATTGAAGTATTAATGGGCCAGTTGTTCATTAAAGTTAAGACTCCACAATTTTGCAACATATAGCATGATTATGATAACGTTGTCAGCATTGTGCACAAGCCACCTTTACCACTCAGATGAGCTGGTACTCAAATCATCTGTAGCTGAATGGGATTCCAGCTGTCTCTGTAGATCAAATCACAGTGCTTCATAATGATAACTCAGTGCATCTTACTAGATGTATAGCATCAGCTAAGCTAAAAAATCTGGTATTATAAAAATCTGGTATTTGTAGCTTAAGTAACATTTAAGTTCTCAAGTGTAACATTTTGAAAAATGATAAAATAAAAATTTATTGCTTAATTATTTTTATTATTTGAAAAAGTTATAAATTTTATTTTTGCTTATTATTTTTAAAAAAATATTTTTCAATTAAAATTTTTGAATTCATTGCTTATTTGAAATTTATAAAATTGTTAAATTTTATTAATTATTTTTATTATTTTAAAAAGTTATAATTTTTATTTTTGCTTATTATTTTTTAAAAAATATTTTTCAATTTAAATTTTTGATTTCATTTCTATTTTACTTTAATAATTTATACCAAGATTTAAAAAAAAGAAGAAAATTTTTTTTTTTTTTTTTAAATTGTTAAGTGGTGATATAATTTTTTAAGAATCCTCTATCCTCACCATCTTGGATTTTCGTTTAAATTTTTTTCTTGATTTTTTTGTACTTAACAAACTTTTGATGATGTAGTATTATAAACTAAAATTATCGGAATTTGAAAAAGCCTTATGGAAATGGCAACAAAAGAAAGGATCAGAAAAGGCATGGGTTTGTCAAGGAATCACTGCAAATTAAATTTGTCAAAAAGTAGTTGTTTTAATATAAAATCATTGTGCATTAACAGGGGTCTGTCTAGGTTTTTCTGAGAGGTACCTATTTTGTGAAAATGTAGACATAATTTGTGAAAATTAAAAATATATTAAAAAATAAACACAAAATATGATGAAAATATGGATTTACTGTTTCTTACGGGATACAAAAATAAAATTTAAGAAAAAGTATTTTGTGAAACTCCTGTTTTTCCTAAAGTTGAATTTGTGAAGGTACCGCTAAACAATAGTAAGTTTGGCTTGACATACCCCTGATTAATATCTATTGAAAGTGTCCTAATTTGAAAAATCAAATGAAAATGGTCTGAATAGATATATATATAAATTGTTTTTGTGTGCATTCTCATAATTGATGGTATTTTTTTTTATTTTTACTTTAGGTGAAAAAGATGGAAGGAAATTGGAAGACCTAGAAACACTGAAATGGAAACCGGATCAGTTAAGTGATCAGAAGCTTGAGGAGTATATGTCTATGGCAAAGTAAGTATGAATCACTTTATTTGATAAATATTGATGCATAAATATTTTATTTTTCTGTTACTTATTTAATGCAAATTTGTTAGAATAATTTTTCTCCGATGTCAATGGGTATTGTTTTTTTATGTATTATTCAAATATTTGTCTTTTATTTTAACAATAAATAGTGATGGTAACTATAAATTTCTCGAAATATTTTTTCTACTAAACTACCTAAAATATTTTAAGTTCGTGGCAGAGCTATTTTCATTCTTTAAATTTAGTAAAGCTTGGTTAAACTCGCCAATTTTTTTTTATCAAATCCTAGAAACTTTTTCTCTTTCAGTATTGTCTTAAAATTGATTGAAATCATTTAATGCAGAGGAAAATATTTGTCACAAAAATTATAAATTAATAAAAAAATCTTTTTAAAATATTGATTAAAGTCATAAATAAAAATCAGATTAAGGCTATTCCATAATGCTACGGAGAACATAACAAAAATATTAACATTTAATAGAACCCCTCCATTAACCAATTTCTTAGTTTTTATTAACTGTTTTAGATATAAAATCAAAGATTATAGTTATTAAGTATTTTATAATGAAAAAAAAATATTTAACTTTTAATTTGGTTGATATTTGTAACATCAGTCACATAAAAATTATAACATGAGTCACAAGATCTTTTTCTCTATTTGTCATTTTGTGTATGTAATTTCATGTATACAATTAAGGTTTCCTGTTAATTTCAAGTTTTTTTTTTTTTTAAATAAATTTAAAAAATACTTTCAATATTGCTTATAGAAGAAATGGAATTTCAAAATAAAAATATAATGTTTTATTCTAAATAAGACATTTCTAATTTTCTTTCCTTTTATTTTAAATAAATATTTAAAAAATATATGATATTTTACTCCATATCCTTTTTAACATTGGTGAAATTTTATATTTTTATTCCAAATAAAACATTTATTATTTTCCTCCCTTTTTTTTCTTATATGCATATTAATATTAGGCTATTGAAAAGCATCCCATATAATTAAAAAAAAATATATATTAAATATTTCTTAATAAAAAAATTTTTTTTGAAATAAGTAAGCCTAATAAAATGTAATGTCAGTCACCATAGAATTTTTCCATTATATATCAGCACCAGGATGCATTTGATAGTTTAAATGTATTTCATATAAAAGAACATATTTTGTTAGTCAGTTTTTGAAAATATAAAGTATTTCTATGTGTACATGTGCTAATAATATGTTTGATCAGTACTGATTTTATTTAAGTAAACACTTAACAGTACATTTTTCCATTTTAACAGCACTTTTAACTTTCTTAATTAGTTAAAATAAATTTTTTTATAAGTAAAAATAAGCTCTGCAATAAATTTGTATAACTGTCGTATCAATTTTAAATAGTATCTTATTAGCATTAATTTTTATCTCTATTATGAAGATAGTTGATGAATACTCCATATACATGAACCGCTGTCATTTGATGATCTTCCCTGTGGCAGAATTTTCTTGGGATTTCTGCGACATACCTCTCTATCACTAATATCTTTCTGCAAGATGCTTTTAATAATAACAAGTATGCATGTTACTAATTGAATTTGAAGTAAGAAAAACGTTGCGTTCACAATAAAAAAAAATTTTTTTTGAATAAAATAAAAATCGTATTTAATTTTTAAATGAATATGTAATGTTTTTTTTTTAATATACATTATTCTAATACAATGGCGAGATTCTCCCATTTTGTACGAAGAAAACACACTAATTATTTCCTTTTTCGCATTTCGTAAAATATCATCTCCTCAAAAAAAAAATTAAAAATCTTGTAATCCGTAGCAGTGACTGCTGAAAACAAGATCGACGGCGAAATCACGCTGATCGGACTCTTCAAAGGGAGAGGGGGGTGTTACTAAATGCTTGTTTCGTTTCGAGATTCGGATGTTGTAATAAATAATATCGTATTTAAAATATAGGATTTTAAAGACTGTGTGAAATACATGACCCCCCCCCCTAAAAAAAGGATAGAATCATTGTTTTAATTATTCATAAGCACGATTCGATTTCCCCATATTGTCTGACATATATTGGGATACTTAAAAATCACGGGGAAATCAATATCAATAAACTTCCGAAAATACAATCTAAACACTACATGGATTTGTGGTAGTATTGGCATAAAGTGAGAGCGTCAAAAAGAGATTATTTAATAGCGCAATTTAAATTTTACGTGTCGAAGTAATATTGACTAAAAATAACAGGAATTTTAAAAATCCCATGGAATTCAGTAGCATAGCACATGTAACAAAAAACCGAAAAACGGTGAAATCGTCACAGTAAAAGTAAATAGTTGATTTCAGTTTCGAGTATAATTAAACTGTATGAGAAACATCCGGATTTGTTTCGCTGAAAAATATGAAAATAGAGCGTGGATTAAAAAGAATATTGGCGCAAAATAAGCGTGTCAAAAGAATGATTTCTGGAGGGAAAAAATCGTTCAACATTTCTGCAGAAAAGAAATTTCTTTCTTTATTATTCTATATTTTTCATTCTTAAATTAGAATAGAAAAATCAGGAACATTTCTTTCCTCTCTGATGTGCTAAAAAGGCATCTTTTAATTATAATTTTGGAAGAAAAAAAAATTTCTGCAGAAAAGAAAACAAAAATTCCTTACTTCCTAACAGAAAATTCTTTCTGCAAGAACTCAGCAACATTCTGCGACAATGTCGCTGTGTCGCCGCCATTCTGCCACGGGGATGATCTTCCTTGTTAACTTTGACATGAACTTTACTATTCTTTTCTGCAAGTGTTTTCCTTAAGATTGCACAACAAAAATTGCCACATGATTAATTTTCCACTCATTGCAATTTCATTTCATAAACCGAGTTTGATAGTCAATATTCCTTAAATTTAGTAATAATGATTTTTAAGCTCTACCTAATTTTTGATAAATGTGTATGCATAATATTGAGCTGAAACATTTGCATTTATGAGTTATTGCACTCCAAAATTGTTCAAATCTGTGTTAAAATATTTTGAAGCTTTTATTTACATTGCTTAATGGCTTTATTCATGTCAAATGGCAAAGTAAAATAATTATTTAAAGAATTCCATAGTGACTGACTTACTGTTTGATTGGTTTTCTTTCTTTTTTTTTTCATTAATAAATATTTAATAATAATTTTCATTAATAAATATTTGATAATAATTTTTCACTGAAGATATTTAATAACTTAAAAAATATATATATATGGTATGTTTTTACAACAGTCTAATATTATTATGCATATAAGAAAAGGAATGAAAATTAAATGTTTCACTTAGAATAAAAATATAAAATGTGACTGACTTTTCATAAAGAGGACACTGAGTTAAACATCATATTTTTACTTTGAAATTCTCCTTCTTTCATGAGCAATAGTATAATTAAATTTTCAAATTTATTTAAAAAAACAACAGCATCATATTAACAGTAAACTTTAAAAGTACACTTGAAGTGACATGTAAGAAGTGACAAATAGAGAAAAAGCTCTTATGACTGATGTTACCACTTTTATATGACTGATGTAACAAACTAACTGCATGAAAATTTTAATAAACTTTTTTATTATTGTTACAAATTACTTGACTACAATAAGTTAATAAAAACTGAAATTTATTAATAGAAGGATGCTATTAAATGTTTAATTTTTTGGTTATGTTGTCCTTAGTATCATGGAATTGCCCATTTTCACTTTTAAGTTTCCTTTCTCTTAATTAGGCATGTTTGTGTTACTGTTAATTAGGCATGTTTGTGTTACTGTACAGTGCCATGTTATAAACTTCAAACATTAGCAATTTTTAACATCAGACAAATTATTTTCTTGCTTTTTCATAGTGTTTGGTGTTTTTTATATTTTCCATTTTTTTTTCTTGTGTTATCACTGATTCTGATGACTATGGATCCTTAGAACACAGGACTTTTAAATTTCAGGATCCCTTTTTACTAAAAGTGGGCCCCTACTTAATTTGATACAAATCTTTACTTTAAAGATTACATAAAAATAAATATTTTATGAATAATGAACAAAAAGTTATTATTAAATTGTTGAGTTATTTAACAAAGAAATGAAACAAAATTTCAATATCAATTCAATTCAAAATTATTTTCCATCTATTTTTATTGTAGAAAAAAAAATCGTTTTACCAGCATAAATCTGCAGGTGCGCACTTTCCCCTCCTATTTTCTCAAAAGAGAATTAAGTTTTCTAGAGGCATAATATAACTTTAATCAGATTCCATCTATAAAAAAATTTGACCTAATTGATGTGCGCCTAACGAAATCGCTGGCTAACAAGAAATATTCAGTCTTATTTGTAATTTTCAGATATGTAAGTGCACATCAAAAATTAATATAATAGCATCTAATTATTTTGAACTGTTACTGTCAAAAGGTCCCCCCCCCCCCCCCNCCCCCCCCCCATAAGCTATCCATTTATTTTTATGTTTCATAGGGATAGCTTAATGTAATGTAGATTTGTTTTAGGTAAAATACAGAAATGGTAAAGACATAATTTAATAAAGCAAAATATTTGAATAGTATAATCAGTGTTTTCATCATAGAAAAAAAATGGGTGAGAATTTCTCACCCTTTCTCAAATACAGGGTGAGATTTCAAAAAGTTAAGTGAGATTTCTGAAAAAACACAAAAACTCTTGAAAAAAAAATCATTTCTTTAATTATAATACATTTTTAACGTCTTCAACTTTTTAAAGCATTGAATATTTTTGATGCATCATCATAGAAGATTTTGCCTTTACAAGGTATTTGTCCATCTTACATAAGTGCATAAAAAATTTGAACGTCTTACATGAAGAAACCTTACCTACGGTAAACACGTGGTTGCAGAGAAATGTGTTCTGAAAGGGGTTCCGTGGTTGTGTTCTGTTGTTCGAAAAGGTTCTGAACAATACTGGTAAATAGGGAAGCTAGATAATGGGGCAGATGTTGAAAATAATGAAAGATCCAGTAAAAAAAGTGAAACGGATTTTATTCTAAATGGCGTAATTCGAAGCTTCTTCCAAAATGCGAAAAATTCGCGAATTTTGAAATTGATTTATAGAATGGGCGAATTTCTCGAGGTAATCATTTTTTAATGCGAGAAAAGAAAAAAATATGCGAGATTCTCGCGCTTCAGTAAAAACACTGGTATAATTATATAAACTAAGTATTATAATTTAATTAGATTTATTATAAAATAAAAACTGTAAAATAAGGTTAAAACTTTCCACATTCTTTGTTCTTGTGACGAAAAAAAAAGTTTTTGTATGCACAATTTTGAAATTATTTTATGAAAGTTCATCATTAAGAAACAAGCCTTTATTAAACTTGTTTATTTTTTATCACTGTTTAGAGGCATTTCTCTATTTTCCAAATCAGTAAGCAGCTCAAGATCACCAGAAAAATCAGATAACTCATTACAATCAGCTATTAAAGGCTTGGTATGTATTTCTTTATACTCTATATAATTGATTATTACACCTATTAAATTGATGCCTTTGCATCAGTTAAAATTATTCAATGAAAAATGATCGTTTAATTAATTAGATAAAATTCTGTAAATGCATTTTTTATTAACTGTATTTACTGATTCTTTGATTTTATACATTATGATTTTCTTGAAATTTTTTCCCTCTCAGTTGTTTATTTCAGATAATAAATGAAAAGTTATATAAAATTTTGTTTATTATTCTCTTTTGATTAATGACATTTGTATTTTTAATATTGTTATTATCTTCATGTTTTTTAAACTTATTTAATTTACACATTTTGATAAATTTTTATTAAACAGTTATAATATGCACAACTTGTTGCATTTATTATTTTATTTTATGCTACTAAAAAAATCTTGGCGATTATAATCTAACTCAATATTAAGTGTGGAAATGTTTATTTGACTCTTGTAATACAGTAGGGAACCGATTATCCGGAACGATCGGGACCATCGCTATTCCGGATAAGTGATTTTTCTGAATCGCTACAAAAAGCCGTTTTTTTTTTATTGTTAAACCCATCTAAATAAAAAATTTGGAAATAATCTAAAAAGAAGAAAAAACAATGAAGTAATACACTAATGATTATTTCCAAAATGATGGTAAGGTAAAAATCTTTCAAAAAAGAAAAAAAAATCCTAAAATCTTATGAGGAAAAAAAAATTTTTTTTAAATGGCGGGGAAAATGTATCGAATTTTGTTCCGGTTTTTTGGTTTTCCAGTTTTCTGATTTCCGGAGAACGGGTTCAGTACAGTACAAAGTTCTTAAAGAATTTTTATCATTTGCAAAACCATGTTAAAAAGATGAGATTAAGTTGTTTTCTCACTTCTGTGTGTCGTAAAAGAGCATGCATAGTGTTCCCAATATTTGTTTAAAGTTTTCAAAGTAAAGTTTCTAAAATTATTCTCAAAATATTACTTTCTCTATTTAATTGTTTGCCCGATATCAATCTCTTCTTAGACTGAATTTGTTGCTTCTCATCATCCTTGTCATCATGATGATGGTTGTCGCCAAGTCCTTAAACCTTCTTCCTCCTCTACTGAATCAGTTTCTAAAGTTAATACTAACACCTGGTCACAATCTGAAGCTCAACTATTTGCTCAAGCTCTTGAAGCCTGCGGCAAAAATTTCTCTGCAATTAAAAAAGAATTTGTAAGTTGGTTTGATTTTTTTTTATTATTTACTATTTGAAGTTGAATTTTGATTACATAATTAGCTGTCTTCATATTTTTCCCAAAGCTCTACATTAAATCTTCTGCCTTCTACAAATTGCTCTTTTATGGGCTGACATATTTAGGACTGCCCATTAACCAGTTATAATTGGTATACAAAAAAATAGAAAGTGATACATTTAAATTACAATATAATATAATAATTTTAAATTACAATAGAACCTTAATCGGTAATTCTCATGGAACCATTAATTTCAAACGACAGATACGGTAAAACGATAAATCTGGGTCAACGTAAAATGTTAAATAATGACTTGAAAATGTATGTGAAGTAATGAAGCAGTTATGGACTTAAAAATTAAAAAGTTTACTATCCGTATAAAAAAAATAATCATTGAAAAAAGTTATATCCATTTTGCTAAATTACTTAACAATGTTAAATAAGGAACATATTTGCTTAGTTAAAATATTTTAAAATTTTGGTTTGAATATAATCTTTTCTTCTCAGCAAATTTTCAAAAATTTTTGACGTTTGCACTGATTTCTGCAAATGTTGGTACTGGTTGTTGTTCAGTTTCAACTTCTTCATCAGTATCACTTTGCACTTCTTCAGCTTTCTTCAACTGTTTCTTGAATCGACAACATCACAAATTTCAACGTTTTCACAAAACTTAAAAAATCCTTATATTTTCTTCATTAACACCATCAGAAGTTGCTATATTTGTTCTCAAAATGAAAAAACATTAAAATTTTAAAATGGCGGCAAAATTTCTGAACAATAAATGTGAGAATGGTTTCAAAGAAGATCTAAACGGGTATTATTAACATTGTAAGAATAGCATTTGTAACAGTGCCAATAAAACAAGTCGATAGCTAGGGGAAAACGCAGGATGCGGGAATGAGGGTTCGAGGTTCGTCTTTATTGCAAAGAAAAGAATCAAAAACTCTTCAAACAACATAGTGACTCCATACTGCAAATTCCATTCTGCTAGAAGTTCTGATAAATTTTACATAAATTGGGAAAAAAAGTTTTTTGTTTGTTTATCAAGCAAGCACTATGAAAAGAAAGAAAACTCTTGCCTGAAAGAGGAAGTAGAACTCAAATTGTACATCACTACAGAATAACATGATAGTTCCTTATTTTAATGCCTTTATTGTTATAGAATTTTGAAATTGTTGTATTATATATACATATATTTAATAAGCATCTGTATATATATTTAGTATTTTGAATTTTCAGTTACCCTGGAAACCTGTACGTAGCATTATAGAGTATTATTACCAGATTAAAAATGAAAAAGCTGAAGAAACGGAACCAACTGATAAAGTTATCCCTAAAGCAGAAGAAGAACCTATTCCATCATGTTCGCATGAAGAAAAGGTTTCATGTTCTTTTCTTTTTAAATATATACATTGTCTACCATTTTTTAATGTGTTCAATCTTAAGTTTATTTTAATATTTCAGCCTTGTGTGAAAGAAGAACCTGTTAAAGTTGAAGAACCGCAGGTGAAAACTGTAAATACTGAAGATCCCCCAAAAGATTCGATTAATTTTTTAGATCATAGCAGAGTCACCGACCCTTGTTCAGCAGCATCAGAAACAAGCTTACCTCAAGATGTACCAGCTACATCAACCGTTGGAAGCTTGAAATTTTTTTTAGGTTTGATATTTATTTTCTTGTATTTAGCATTTTGTAAACGAAACTTTTATACTACTTTATACTAGTATTTGTAAAATAGAAAACTCTGTGCATATAAATTTGAAAGTTATGGAGTATAGCTTTTCTTAATCAGTATTATTAGTTTTTAACTGAGTCTGATATGAGGCTTTTTTATTGGTGTAAAAGAAAATTGTAATTGAAAGATGTTTTATTTTTCTATTCATTTTTTGATAGTTTTTTAAGTTTTATTTTCTTTTGAAATTTCATATCATTAACATGAATATTGATACCTTTCTAAAATAACTATTTTTTAAATTTAAGACTATATAATATGGATACAATTGAAGGTGGAAAGTTCACTTTTAATGGACTTTTCCTACTTCTTTAATTAACTGTACCTTTTCAACTATGTTAATGACTTAAAAGAAGGTTTTGCTTTTGACAATGCCAGAGTAAAACAAACAATATTTAAATCAATTAAATAAAAAAAAAGCATATTAAGAGTCATTCATAAGAAATGCCTCTTACTTTAAGACCATGAGAATTTTGTATTTTCAGAGAAAACCCCCTAGAACCCACAATGAAATAGTATAACTTAATACCAAAGTCACCTCAAATCATAATGTTGCATCCATGTTTCTGGCTCGAAATATGATAATATTATTTTTTGTTCCTGTCAGACATTGAGCAGACTTTTTCTAATCACATCTGACAAACTTAATTCGTATTCATCCGAAAAATACACTATTTTACATTTGTCTTGAGTTCAGTTCAAGGGTTCTATACCAGACTGTAATCTAGTTTTCTGATTTTTTATGAATTAATACTTTTTATGCTATGTGGTACATCTAATCCAACATCATATAAACGTCTTGTAGCAGTACGGCTACTTAATATTTATGATACTTTCATTGCACAATTTTAATGCAATTTAAGCTGCAGACTTAATATAATTCTTTTTTTGTGTGTGTGGTTATTTTTTATAGTCAACCACTTTTAGACTTCCCAGACCAAATCAACTTTGATTATTGATATCGAGATCTTTTACACTTTACAATTCAATTGATAACAAAGATGAAATTTTACAAGGGCATCTGCCTTCTTTCAATAATTTTATTACCCTTTAATGTCACTCCAGACAAACGCGTCTACCCATAATTATAGTTTTGTTAACTTAAACTGAGAGTTTATAACAGAAATGTTTTGGGTTTGCACGACTATGGTGGCTTAGTAACTTTTTTTAGTCAAGCATAAAAAATTTAATTAGCTGAATCCTTTAAATACAAAAATACTCTAGTTGTACAAAATACTGTAGTTTATGCATATTATAACACATAAAAATTTTAAATAATTTATATTTGATTTCAATACTGAATGAATAAAAATAATTTGTTTTTCACTCATTTAAATATGAAACAGCTGAAAAAAGTTATAAAAAATAAAGCGGCTGGAGACTTTTGCACTCCACTGTATGTTGTTAGACAAGTTATTTTATTTATTTATCATTTTGTGTTGAGTTAAAAAGAAATTTCATGTTGAAAAACATAGCATTGTAAAATCAATTTGAAGTTTAGATAACTTTTTCAATGCATTAATTTTTTTTACCTAACTATTTTTATTTGTAAAATGATGAATTTTTTAAGTTTTAACTTTAAAAAATTAATCTGTTTCTGAGCATTAATGTTGATTGTCTATAAATTAATGATGAAAAATGCATAACAATAATCCAATCTAACCTAATATAGATACTGTTTTGCGGTATGCTGATATGGTAGGTAGTTCTTGTTTCATTTATGTTTTTATTTCAGATATATTCATGTTTTGCAGTTTATTCTTTCACTAATAAATGTAATTTTTTATTTACAGGAGGTCGTTTAGTACTTAAATTAAATGCGCAACAAGACGGTGGCTCTGGGAACAAGTGCCAATGGGTGCAATCTAATGATTTGCCTAAACATTCAAATCACAACAAAAAAGATAAACATAAGAAAAAATTTGCTCCATATAGTTATAGTTCTTCTGGAACTCAAAAGCCTTTGAAAAAAGGGGATGACACTTCTGCAGTACCAGACTGTGATCCTTCTGGTATAAAAAAGCCTAGGCTCAAAGAATATGAAACTTCCGAAAATAGTGCCCTAGGACTTCTCCTCTGCAGTTCCTCCTGGACTCCACCTGTTGCAGATGGTCAAGAATCTATAGACGTAGATGATACCTCCTCTAAAACAAGCGAAGGCTATATTTCTCCTATACTTTCCAATAATTATCGAACATCAAAGATAGATACCATAAAACATGATTTTGCTAGCAATCCCAATACTTCTAATGAGCTCGGTGAACAAAAGTGCGATTCAGACCCGACTTGGGTAAAAACTGATAACTGTATTATTAGTGATAGTGCCTCAAAAAATGCTAGCGTTTTAAGTGGCAAAAACTCTCCTAATCAGTGTTATAGTTCTCCAATGAAAAAGGAAGTGCTTAACCATAAGAGTGCCTTGAGTCATGGTAGATCTGTAAAAAGTCCTTGCTATCAGTCTCGTTCAAGTCATTCCAGTAGTCCATTACTGAAGCAAAGGAACATCAAGTGGTCCAATATACCATATCCATTAAAGTCATCACCTAGTTCATTATCCCCGGTTTACATTGATTTAAGGAGTTCTACTAAAGGTTATTATTTTTCCTCTTCTATGTTTATAAGTTGAAAACAATCTTAACATATGACTATGCTTTTATGCAATTGAAAAAAATAATGTGATTGTCAAAAACTTTCCAACCCTGCCTAATTATGATATTTTTTAAAGTGCTTAATAATATTTTTTGCGTGCTTAAAAGGTGCTTATTTTTTGTTGAATAATTTGGCTGCGCACCCTAAGTTAATTATACAAAAATGGCTAATATGTAAAAATCTCAATTTTAAGTTTTTTTTAATCGTGTACATTGGTTTTCTTATTGCACCCCAATTCTGGTAAAATATTATATACTCGCAGCACATTTCATTAAAAAAGCTTATAATTATTAGTATAATTTTTTTAAACCTTAATTTTCATTGTAGCATTTTGCAATGAAGGTATACTATTCTTCAACAGCCTGTAATGGACAAAGGGCAAGTTATATGCATGATAGTGGTAATGTGGTCCTTCAGCTAATGCTGCCTCAGACAAGTTTATACCTATCAATCTAAAGTTTGATGATCTTCTAACCATCACAGTGGTTTGAACTCCTTTCCTTGAAATGGCATTGTCTGAAACACTGAGCTAATGCAGCTTATATATTATTATAGTGAATGATAATTTACAGCATCGATCTGTTTAATTAAAAACACATTTTAAGCATTTTTTTTTTGTCCAAAGCCTAAGCTATTCATCTTGGTGAGGTTGTCTTCTGCATATCCATATAAAGAAAACAATTTTCTGTTCTTGTATTTATAGAAAAAAGCTATATGAAAGAGAGAAAAATCTAAATATTCAGCCGATGCTTAACTGTGAAAGAGTTTAAATTATTAAAATATTTAATATATATGTACTTTAAAAGTTCATAAAAAAATCCATACTTTATGTAGTTAGAAATTATTAGTAAAGTTTTTATTATTGCACTTTTTTCTATTCAATTGTAAAATAATATCATAATTTCATTTTTTTCCCTTCGCAGAATCTGCTATAGATTTATCATCAAAGTCTGACAATGGTCTAAACAATGCAGATCATTATGTGAAACAAACTCACTCTAATGAGAGAAGTGAGTGCAATGAATGCATTCTCTGCGAATCTGATTCGCGACCTGATAGTGAGTTCTCGCCTCAGTCTTCCAATTTCACTCCATCTGCAGAATCACCGAGAAAAGAACCATCATGTACAGCTTGTAATTGTTGTGAAGGTGTTTCTACAGACCAATTACCATTTGATAATTCTGGTAGAAAAGAAGATGAAACCATGACTAACAAAGAGTCTGATGATAACAGCCAACTTTCCTACACATATTGTAATCTTCCATACCATTGTGCTTTACCAAAATGCACCAAAGATTATACATTAGAAGGTATTATTTCTATACTTTAATCGAAATGTATTTTATTTCTTTGTTTTCTGCTCCCAACAATATGGCAGCCTAGTACAGGCCAGAACCATCCCGACCTGTCGTTGACAGGATCAGGCGCTAATTTTATTCATCTATTGATGTCCTTGGTTTTAAGATTTCTTTCCACAGAATTCTTTTGTTTTAGCTATTTTAAACGAAAAAAATGCTAACTAGTTATCAATAATAGTTTACTTTCTAATGTTCTTAAGAGGATGCTTTACAGTGAGGGAAACTTCTCATGGCAAATTCTGTTTTTACCTCTAATGGTAATTTAAAGTTTAGATAAACATTGGTAAAGTTTAACTTTGACTAAATGTCATAATTGTTTGAATTTTTAAAATTTAAAAAACATATTTCAGCATTTTTTTAAATTCATGACATAGTATGTTCTCCTGATCTCACTTCTATACTTTAAATTTGAAATGACTTATGTTGATTAAAAAGAATTTCTATGTAGGGTTTCTCTCATGGTATTGTCCTCTTAACAGAGATTTAAAATTAAATGTTTTTGTTATTCCATGTTACGAAAGTTATTATCCAAGACCATTGATCTTGCAGAAGGCAATTTTTCCTTTTGTTATTATTTTTAATTCATTTTTTCTTCCTTCTAAAATTATTCTATTACTTTAAGAATGACCTATAATTAATACAATTATTTTCTTAATTTTTTGTTAAGAAACCAATAACTAATTATTGTTGAGTTTGCTAATTTGGCTTCTACTTTGCAAAAAAAATTAAACTGATGAAAATATTTTGTTCATACTTGTCCCAATTTGTAGCTTTTTTTCTGGATATTCATGAATTCCGTGTGTTTGGAACATCCCATTTTGTAAACTAAAAAACAGTTACAGGTTTGCAAACTATCTGGCAATACTTCTTTCATGTTTTTATTTTATTTTTATATAACATGCTATATTTAAATTTTAATACTAGATTATAGTATAATGATAATGTAACAAAACTCTTAATATGCTTTATGAAATTTTTTTTATTTATTTAAGTAATTTATTTATCTTTAATAGAAATATATATCGCTTTTTAATTAACTAATTTTAATCTCCTTTACTAATTTAGAGCACTTGTGCAATAAAAGCAGCATTAATAAGAATCAAGTAGACTGCCCTGAATACATCATAAATGATATTGATGAAAATATGTGTGAGAAAAATCCCAACTGGTGTAGCAAAGCATCATATATTCCTTATTACTCTCATTGTTATCCGTACTATGTTAGTTATGGTGTAACATCTCGAAATTCTGCAGAATCGACTGATACGGGTATGTATTTAATGATCATTTTAGCATTTTTATTATGAAAACTGCTAGAGTGCTTGTTTTATGCTTGTTCGAGTATAAAACAGCTCAAACTATCTTCACTGCATAACATTGAGTTTAAAGAAAAGAAATGCATGCCTTTTGCTTAATAACTGTAAAAATTAAGTTATTTTCTAAAATTAAAAATGCCTAAGTTACTTTAATCATTATTATAGAAAATATTTAGAAAAATATTATGAATGCCATATTTGCAGACCTTAAAAAGCTTCTAACTGAAAAAGAAATACAGTAGCGAACCGATTATCCGGAACGATCGGGACCATCGCTATTCCAGATAACTGATTTTTCCGGTTTTCTGAATCACTACAAAAAGCTTTTTTTTTTTTATTGTTAAACCAAACTTAAAAAAAATAAAAATATTTGAAAATAATCTTAAAAGGAAGAAAAAACGATGAAGTAATACACTAATGATTATTTCCAAAATGATGGTAAGGTAAACATCTTTCAAAAAAGGAAAAAAATCCTAAAATCTTAAGAGGAAAAAAAAAAATTTTTTTTTAAATGGCGGGAAAATGTATCGAATTTCGTTCTGGTTTTTTGGTTTTCCGGTTTTCTGATAGAGAAAAAAAGTAAAAACTGGGTTTTTTAGATGTGCATATAGTAGTGCACTCATAACACCCAGTTTTTAATTTTTAAATTTATGAGAGCTAATAAATATCAAAGTAAGTGTTAACGACACCAGGAGTTATCTTAACAAAAAATATTAGAACTGCTTGATTATTTTTACGCTTAGGCATTTGCTTTTAAAATCTACAAATGTGGCTCTCATAATTTTCATAGAAATAAAATTTCATATTTTATGTTATTTAATAATTATTCATTTTTAGTAATAGAATACAAACACTGAACAGACTTAATTTGTGTAAATGAATAGATTTATATTGTGTATTATATTTTAATGTATTGTAACATGCTTTACTACTCCTAGTTATGAATCCTGAAAAATGTCTTATATAGAATTTAAACTTTCATAATTAAGTAATTAAAGAAAACAAATCTTGCAAAGACATTGTGATATTAAAATTGAACTAGTATGTTTGTTTTAGAACTTATCAGCCTTACTTTTCATTTAATAAATATATTTGTCTGTATGCAGTAGTTTATTTATTTATTTTTTCCGAAAACGTTTATGAAATAGCTATTATTGTTTGTATAGAATATTACTGATTGATGTGTTTTAATAAATACTGATGGTTTTAAGTTTTAATATTTTTTTCTAATTAAGTTGTTTGTTTAATTATATTTTTAGAAGTATCAGAAGCTCCATTAGACTTATCATCTACTAATGAAACAAAACCAGAGAAATTGCCTAATGTAGAAAAAATATCAGAAAATTCCAGTGAAGAAGTATCCCAAAATGCAGGTACTTCCATTTTCCTTTTATTTTTAAAAGAGTGAAATTTCTACCACAAATATGAAACTTATGAAATAACTAATTAAAAAATTTTTTGTTGAAAGTACATTATTATTCTAGTTCATTCCCTAATATGTATGGGAAACAGTCTAAATGTAATATATTCTGTTTTGACTAATATATGAATTCATTGAGCAATTATGCTCTTTGTAGTGCAAGGGTCTGTTTTAAATGGCTTTTATAAACAATCAACAATTTATTGTTAACAATCAACAACCAGTTTCTAAACTTTTACTGGGAGCTGGATACACGGAAAAAATTTAATCTATTACCCAACCAATTCACGGTACCTGATATAAATTTTAGTTTTTACCCTGGTACCCCACAAAATTTCTATTCATTACCCATTTGGATATTAACACATTGATGCGAAACAAAATAAAAATCTTATAATTTTCTATTGAACAATTATTTTACAAGATAAACTTCTAAAGAAATTCATTGTGTGTCTAATAAATAAAAATGTTTTTGTTTTTTAAATAGATTTCAAGAAAGAAAGAAATTTGGGTTGACTGTATGGTTGTAGAATGATTAACATAAAACTAAGTCTGCTAATAGTTAACTTTATGATTAATTAAATTTTCAATAGAATTTATTTATGTAACTTATGTTAAACCATGGAATATTTTAAAAGTAATGAAATACTAAAAAAATGGTTAATTAGCAACACTTAAATTACGTTTTTAGTTAATGGATGTTTAAAAATTATGTGCAATGAAATCTACCTTAGTACTTTTAAACTTTTTACTATTCTGGTAATTACCAATGTTGAACAGAACATAAATATAGTGGTTTTGTTGTTCATAAATTTGCTGTCTTACAAAAATATTATATATGAAACTAAAGCATATTTGCGTTACGAAGAGAAAAAACCTCGAAAACTTCCTTTGGTTAACTAGACAATAGGAGAACTTTAATCGGACTCTTTGAAATAGAATTTATTGAAAGAATAAGCTAGAAACACAGTTTTTGATTAAAAAAATTTAGTTGAAAGTTACCGAGTGCAAATTATATAACTTTAACTGAAAATATAATAAAGTGATTTAAATTTTCTAGTGATTGTTTAATGTTAAACTACATTAAAATAGAAAAAAAAAATTTAATTTTTCTTTTAATAAAAGCTATTTTTTGTCTAAAAAATTTATTTCTCAATTTTTGTTTAAAGTACTAGCTTCATTTTCACATGTGCTTTTTTGAACTAGTAAATTAAGTTCAGTGTTGTTTTAATTAGTAACAGCATTAGAATAATTGATGTATTGTTGGTAAGAATAAGTTTCTATTTGCAACTGTTTACTGTATTCCTATAAAATGCTATGCTTGCAAGCCTAAATAGTAGAAATATTATTGCATTTACTCATTTACTGAAAGAAAATTTAGTATGAGAGTAATACATATATATCACAATTCTCTATAGTTATTTTTTAATTTTATTCATTATAAAATACACAATTAGAAATAAATTAACTTTTTTAGTACAAAACTAACTTTTTGTGTCCTAAAGAGAAGAAAAATTAAGAATTGTTAAGTACCAAAAGCTTTTCAAGTTTTTTGTGTGGTTGTAATAAAGATATGGTTGTACTGCATACGTGTGGGAAGCCTGATGTTATCAAAATTGTAAATGCTTGCCATATTATATATCTAAATCCTATATATAATTATTCATGTGGGGAGATTCACATCGACAATGTCAACCTTCATCTATGAAAAGGTACACCAACATAGAATCGAGTTATCATGTCTTATATACTAGTGAATTGGAATTGTATTTTTGTAGCGGTACATGCACTTCAATTCATATCTTTAATAAAAAGAACTTTTTCAAGAATTAAAAGAAAACAGTTACTAGGCTCAGCTATATTGAAAAAGATCTAAAGTGTTGTTTCTTATTCCACTTGATCCAGTCCTTAGCTAGATCAAGTCCAGAAGACTGTTCACCAACAGAAAGTCCTGAACCAGAACAAGAGTTTCAAAGAGATCACGCTTCTCCAGTTCTAAACAGGAGAGCAAATGGTCTGGAGTAGATTGGTGGGAATTACACTTTGGACAAACAGGAAACTGAAAACTTTTTTTATTATTCTTTTTTTTTAATAGCTAAGAATTGTGGTAGTTTTCTTATTTTATTCATTCTTCATTACTAAAATTATAGCTTCATTTTTTGGGAATAAAGGTTTTCTTTCACAATTTAACTAGTGTTATAAGAAAGTAGTTAATGGTGCTTTTTAAGTTTGTTGCACTTGTATAAATTTTAATTGATGTAATCTGGGTTTTAAAGAAAATTTGTTTGTTTTAGTTATAGATAATTTTGAATATTTAATGTATGCTGGTAGTATGGAAAATGTCCTATAATTAAAAAAAAAATTCTGACTGTTATACTATTTCTATTACTCATGTAACAATCTTTTTATTTTTACTTATGGCATGTTTTTTTTTTTTTCAGAAGGAGGTCGAGGAATGTTGTACCAGTTGTTAAAGAATAAAAGTAAATAGAGCTGTATGTATCAGCTTTTATATTTGTGCTGTATAAAGTAAATAATCTGGAAAATTGAACTCACCATTCTGCACCAGTCAAATTATGAGTGTTATTTTTTTAGCTGCAGAATAAAATCACTGATTATTATTAATTTTATTTTCACATATTGACACTATAATATACAAACTACTTTTTTATCAACTGTAAATTTTGTTTTATTTTGTTTTTTGTTTATTGAGGTAGAAAATAATAATACTTTTCTAAACATTTTGTATTTACAAAAGAGCTTATATTTATATTTACAGCATCATGTCTTGTGACAAATGTAATAGTTTTTCACATTAAATTTATTTGAACTCAAAGTTGCTGTTTGCATAGTTTTGACTTTAGCTCGAACCAATTTTTTTTTTTGACATTAGAGGTAATTTTATAGAAAAAAAATGTCTTTCTTTATGAATAAAATATTTAAAAAAAATTGTTTTATTACTGTTATTTTGCTATGATTTCTCATAAAAGTTTGTGTTATTTAGTCATTGAAATTTCAAATGTTGAAATCCTAGGTATAATTGAGCACTTTAAAAAAAAAATCTTATTTTTTCATAGTTGCTCAAAGTTTTCTATTCAACTGTTTCTGACCTTTTCTTTTAATTTTCGTTCTTTATGACCTTTGAAAATATTTCTCTTTTCCTCCTTGTTTTGTACATCAACAGTTTTAACAATTTGGAAAGTGCTCCACTGGCATCATAGAACTCTCTCAGTCCTTAAAACCTTCTTATTCATCTCTTCACTGCAATTTATATTTCGTTTAAAGTTTTCTGATACACATTTTTTTTTATGGAGGAACCTTAGGTTGGCATATAAGTAGGAGATGACTGTACTAAAATATGGCACATTCTTCATTCTCTATTGGTGAAAATTTGGTGATTATTTAAAATATTTTTATAGCAAGTTTGTACCTTTAATATTTTGTTACCAGAAAGGATCGTGAGATTTTTTCTTCCACTCCTTTCAATTTGGCATTATAAAGTGATCTTTTAGTTTATCAAATGTTTCAGAGTAATTAACCGAAACAGCCTTACAAACAGAGTATATCAGGTCGCATAATCTAGTGACTGGATTGAAAGCATTATAGCAAAATATGTCTGAACACATAATTAAGTTAAATAGCGCCATGACCGGAAATCTGTTTGTAAACTTGACACAAAGTGTCCTAAACGAACCTAGTCCTGTTATTGTCTGGAAAGTAAATAGCTGGTGTTAAAACATGTTAGTATCTTCTTTATGGAAGAAAAAACACTTTTAATTTAATTTTCTAAAAGGAAGTGTAACATTGAGTCTGTATAGAAAAATGTTTTCAAAATTAAAGATTTTAATCTTATATTTTGATACCTATCTCAAACTCTCTTTTAAATGTTTTAATTAAACCAGGGAATGAAGATTCTTTTTTAAAGCTTCCGGTCAAACTAAAATTTTTGCATGCTGCAATTTTGAGAAAAATATGATATATATTTAAGAGACGTAATAAAAAAACTTCTCGCTGAACAAACTATAATAAAATGTCAGGGCCTGTGCTAAGGACTTCAAATTATTAGCCAGACATCAAAAGCATTAGCCAAATTTTAAAATTCTTAGCCAACAGCAAATCACAAATGCTTTTCTATGATTAAAATTTTTTATAATAGATTTTTTCACATAGAACACTGCAAATCAAAATACAAATTTACTATAAATTGAATCATTCTATAAAATGCAAATTCAAATCAAGAGTTATTTTGCAGTTGGGAAGGAGTAAAAGAGCAATGAATGGGTGAGAGGATGAAAAATGTAGATTTTTAATTGTCTTTGAGGGAAAGAAATAGGTCTAGGTTGAGGTTAATTTTTAATTACTTCTTAGACTAAAGCAGTAATATAAAGATAAGCCTTAGGCAACATTATGTTATTGCCACATTATTGTATATGTTATAGTCATGAGAAAACATATTTTTTGCAAAAATATTTGGATGATAGTATGACATCTTGCTACCACATCTGTTTTATTGACGCAAACTATAAATTTCGTCCCGTTGTATCGCGTGTTCTAAACTCAATACAACTCTAATCGGTTATTAGATGTATGTATCTAACAGAAATTACTATAATCGAATAAAAAAATACAGGATTCGTCTAGAAAAATTCTCTTTTACCTTTTTTTTTTAGGATTGAGAGTAATATATTAATTTTTTTGGACTATAAAAAATCATTGGCCAAAACTTTCATCAAAGCACAATCTTCTTTCTTCCTCCAAATTTACGATTTTTTCGCATTTGGCGAGGTGGTGAATGCTTAGCACTGGCCCTTAATATTAAAAATAGAAAAGTACATTAATTTAAAAAATAACATTAACTTAAAGTAAAATTTTCATAAGCATTCAATATCATGCACATATAATTAAAAATTGTTAAAATAAAGAAAATATAAGGAATGTGTTGTCCCAATTTATAGTGCTTAAACGCAAAACTTCATCTTAAAAATAGGGAATTTTAATTTGAAACAAAGCATTTTACTAGACAAAACCGAGCCCATCTGAATATTTAGTCACTAATGGTGAACAGAAGTTTCAAGCCCTGAATTAAAGTATTATTTTATTTTTCAGAAAAATCCTAACAACAGTTAACATTTATGCCTGAGCAGATTTTAAATTGTTTTTCTACTCATTTAATTAACACTTCAAACTTCAATCTTATCTATTTCTGTACAGAATTGCATTGAGATAAACAGTATTGACATAAAGTACAAGCCTATCATTAAACCCAGATTGTTGACTCTAATAGTAAAGAAAAGTTACAAATTGTTAAATTACAAAAACTGATAAAAGTTAAGATACATTGACTTTGTTTCAGTTATAATGAAGGTTTAAAAACCTTAGTCCATAATCTATATGAGTTTTACAGATTTTATTTTTAATGTGTTTTCTATTTTTAATTTGTTTAACATATTATTTATTTAGTCAAGCCATTATTATAATAATATATAATAAGTTGTATGTTAACATAGACAGGAAATTAATTGCGGAGAGCAGAATAATGCAAAAACTAAAGCAACATCAAAGAAACCATATTATTTAGGTAAAAAATTGGCCTACACTGTTTAGTGATTTCTAATTTTGTATAATTTTTTGCTTGAATAAAATCTATATATATATATATATATAGGAAATGAATCAATAAATACAACATGAAATATGAATTATCCGCAACTTAAATTCATAAATGATTCTTCTATCATATGATTTGTCCAATAAATACATTTGCAAACGTACAATATTTTTATTAAATTAAAATTATTGTGATAACAGTGTGTAAGTTTATTAAAATTTGATATAATAACAAAAACAAGACTTTTTTTTTTTACTTAAATTTTTGCCTAAATTATATTTACTTAAATTATTTAAAATCACATGACTATGAATGTTTTTTTGTGCCTCATCTTTCTTTTAATCAAACAAGAAAATTAATCATGTTGTCCAAACTTGCCAAGGACTGGATAGTGGAAAATTTTGTTTCATTACTCAATTTTTTTTTATTTTGTCTTTACATTGACCTTTTGTAAAGATTAAAGTATAAAAAAAATTTAGTACAAATTTTATAAAAAATTTATTATATAACTTTTCGTATGGTTTTTTATTTTTATTTATAAAAACTGATAAGGCTAAAGACAGTTTAATCAGTTTAAAAAAAAAAAATATTATAAATTTTACAGGATTATTCTTAAATTGTGATTAACAGTTGCATGTAACCTATTATAAATCTAAATATACTTTCTGTAAAACATTAAAGATTAATAGTTTTTTAAAAAGCAAATATCATAACTTTTTTGAACGACATTTGACTTATTGCATATGATTATAATGCGACCATATTTTTATATTACAACTGTTTTTGTGAAATTTTTTTAATTTTATTTGTTAAATGTCAGCCTGGCCTTGCTTTTTAGTTTTTGTAGTGTGGTTACAAGTGCCTTTATCAGAAGAAAGACTAGTGTCTCTACAAATCTAATCACGCACTTGTGTTACTTGTTTCTTCATTAGATGAAATCATAGTATTCAGAATTTTATTTATACTTATAGTAATTTTTTTCCTTTTTTGTGAATCTTATGTATATAGGCCAATTGTAATTTTTTATCTTTTATGTTATATTTATTTTCATTAAATATTGTACATTTTAGATTTGAGACTTAATCAGTTGTTGTTTTTTTTTCCATTCATATCATACATTATTTCTTAACTATTTACCCTGTAACTTCGAACAAAAAGTTATTTTTTACTAGTCTGCAAAAAAGAAATATACTGCATTTTATCTCTATTTTTCGTCACAATTTTATAATATTAACAATTCAAATGATCAACTGATAATTTAAAAATTAGATCCCTGAAAAAGAACAAGACATTAAAGATATCATCTCGTCCCTTGAGTATGAATCAGAAATAACTAGGAATTTGGAAAATCAATCAGCTGATTATAAGATTGGCTGATTTTTTGCATATTATAAATTAAGAAGGGCTTAATTTATCGCTCTGAGCATTATGATCCTTGCTAAAATAATACAGATTTCTCTCTCTCAGTGGAAACTGTAAATGTTTCTTAAATTTTTATCTAAACATAAATATTTCCGATATAATATAGTTTCATTGCTGGTTTTAGAATGTTATATCTCACACTATTTATTAAGAATAATTTTTTTTTTTGCTCTTTAACTCTTAATTTGGAAAGGGTGTTTACTGCCCGCTTCATACATTTTTTAATCTCAATGCAAAGCTATTTTCCCATCTATAATTTCAGCCACTGTCTGTTAATAATATTTTAGAAAATAAAAAATAAAAACGAAATATTTTGTTTACATAAAGTGGATAACAATAATGGTTAACAAGAGAGGCTACATTTAGCAACTTTTTCTTTTCTTGTTAGGATACGTGTTCATTTCTCATAAATTTTATTTGCTGTTATAAACACAGAATTTATAACTTTGGTTATTTACTTGGCCTTAAGTTCAAGTTCAAGGCCGATTCTTTACTGCAAGTAAAATTTTAAAAAATCTTATCTCCTTCCCTGCAAAAAGAAAGTCGTAAATAGCAAAATAATTATAGCCAATACGCTAAATAAATTCCTTTATATACATCTATGCCATTCCCTAGAATATGCCTACATAACATTGGAGGGAAAAATGGCCCATCAAAAGGTTAAAAAATAATTCAAAAATTGAAATTTTAACAGATGACTGAATATTACAGCAATGGCAATTTTGATAACTTATCTCCGTCATAATTTTTCTGTGACATCCCCCCCCTCCTTTAATTGCTTAGAGTGAAAATGTCATTAAATTATTCTATATACTGGTTGAGTATAATATGATGCAAGAGTATAGATATAGATGGGGTTAATACCCAATTCGTAGTGTATTTACTCCTGTCTTGGATAAATACATAAAATCAGGGATTTTATAATTTTTTGTTTTTTTAAAGCATATAAACATGATTGGTCTTGCTAATAGTTCTGAGAATTTGTCTCTAATTTTCCAAAATTAAACTTTAAAAACTAAAATATATCAGTTCCATTAAAAACTATAAATACCTGATGCAGAATCTACATTGTTGCATTAAAAAGTAATGTAAAAAGGTTTGCATTGTGTAATATTATAAATCCTTTCCCGGAATTTTATTAAATCATTTAAGTTCAAGATTGCGCATTTTTCAAGAAGAAATTATTTTTCCATTGTAATAAGATGAACTGGATTAAATAGGAGATATTCTAAATAAGCATAGAGAATAAGTTTAAAATTTACGAAATTTGTTAAAACTACGCTTTAAACTGTTTTTTATTTTATTTGTTTAACGTTTTATGCTGTATTTGTATTTATTTAGTAAATTTAATATCAGTGATTAACTATAAATTTCATATCTAAGTTTGAAAATAAATTTATTCATAAAATTCTTTAGTTCAAACCAAATTTGTGTTGTTTTTTTTTATAATAGAAATGTAATTTAAAATTCTTCCAATATTTTTTTGTTTTGAAAGTTTTTTTTGTGTATTGATTCTATTTTATCAAAAATATTAAAAATTTATTTTTAAAAATAAGTCATACTTGGGAAATTTCATTTTAGTCAAAAGATGAATTATTCCATTTAATTTTTTTATTATTGAGTTATTTTTCAAACTATGAGCTAGTACTGTTTCATCTTTAAAATGCAAGACAATTCAGACATTTAAACAAAAGCAGTTTTATTTATTGAAGTTAGTCTTATCTTTTAAAGTATTATTTACTGTTTTCGATTCTATGGAAAAAGCATATAATCCAGTTATATATTGATTATCAATATTTTTCCTAGTTGTTGGGCCCTTCACATATTGTTCCCTGTTTTCGATTAAATTTGGAATATTAAATTTTAATTAAATATTTCTTGAAATCAAAATAATCTTGTGATTTGTGTTAAAAATACATTTTGTAATCGGTAATATGAAACATTTTATAAGTTTTCAGAGATGTGTTGTCAATACAAAAATTAATTTAAGTTTTAAAAAAACGAAACTATGACCGTGTTCTTAAACTGTTTATATTTTAGGTTAATAAATAACATTTTATTCATCTATTTATTTATAGAAAAATTAAGGAAGATAAACTTTCGGAATGCTAAATCAAATATTATTTTATATTTATACCAATTAGGAGTAAAAGATAAGTAATACAAATAAAATTTATTTCAATAATTATTTCTTTGCAGGAGTTTGTTATATGCCTTTTCATCTTACATTTCCTAATCAAACTGAAGCTTTTAACATTTAATTTATAAAAAAAAAAAATTTCAATTAAAAATATGATATTTATAGATAATGAAAGAGATATATATTTAATTAGCAAAAAAATATTCTTTTTTATTTCATTCCTGTAAGAATTATTAAAATTCTGATAAGGCACCAAATCTGTATTTTATTATTTAATGTAAGAATAAATACGTACTTGCTTTAGAATTGTGCAATAAGTTAAACATACAATTTTAATTGGGGAAAAAGTAGTTGCCAGAGCAGTTTTTTTCCTAGGGAAAGGAGCTTCCCTAACTCATTTAAACTTAGCATACAAAAAATATTTAAACATTCAAGCTAGCATGTATTTTATACCTCGTTGAAAACCATACTTATATTAAGCCATATTTTTTAATTCATTATTAATAATGAAAACCCAAAAAGTTTTTACAGCCAATTTAACACATTCAACATCATTATTATTCAAAAATATTTCATCACAATTAAATATGAATCAAATAAGGAATTATATACTATTCAAATGCAGGAAAAAGTTTTATATGCTCACTTTTTAAAATTAATTCCATAAAACTTAATATAAATTTTTGCATTTCAAAAACTTTCTTTGTTTAAATGTTACTTTTAAATCACAAATGCTGAGAGTTACAATTACAAATGTGAATTTAAAGAGAATTAAATCATAACCTCTGTCAAAGAAAATTTTAAAAAAAGAAAATGATTCTTAATAATGTATATGTTTAACCATATGAATTTTTCTTCCTAGTAAATGAATTAAGTATTCACAATGTAAGTAAGACTTAATTGTTTCTAAAGTATGCAGAAAAAAAAGAAGAAAAAAAAAACGTTGAATTTTCAATAAATATTGATAAGTATTTGTGATCGGTCCAGGTTATCCAGGTACTAATAAATATCTGGGTATTTTACACCTATATGCATTATGCAATTTTAAGAACAGATAATGAATTAAATAAATGTGCTTCAATTTATAAAATTAAATAATTTTAAGAATCTTCAAAAATTTGAGAAAACTAAGAATTTAATCATCAAACACATTTTAACTACTTATTTTTGTAAACTACTGGAAAGTATCTTACATTACTGAAATTTTTAGTAAGAACTCTCATATTTAACCTCTACTGAAATTTTTAGTGAGAACTCCGATATTTGACCTAGCCCATTAAACAAACAAACAAAAACAAAAAATCATTACATTACTTACAATATAATAAATGCAGTTTACAATATGAAAGTTATGCGTAAGTGCAGAGACAACCTTCTTTGCCATAGTTTTAGTAGATGTTTGGTTTATTTTTCATTTGCTTTTTAACTACGATTCTAGGTTTTCATCTAGTCATTCATACAATTTTTAAAACAAAAAAGGTTTGATTGTATTTTTGTAAGTTTCAGTGTGAAGAACCCTTTTTTAAATTTTTTTTACTTTTTTCTGTGATACCATGAAGAGACTTAAAACTTATTTATAGATGATTTTCGTCAGTCTTATTTGCATTGATATAATCAGTGCTGACAACAAAACACTTTTATTGGTATAATTTAGAGACTTATATTTTGTGCTGTTTGCAGGAATGAGTATAAGGTAACATAGCTGGAACTAATTGGAACATTTTAAAAATATCAGTTTAATGAAGACATTATTAACATGCCTGTTAGGATATATATATACAGAACACTACTATCAGCATTTTATGCTTTGTGATTAATGTAATAAAGATTGTAGTCCTTAAAAAATCCTGATTTATTATACTTAAGAACAGGTGAATGAACCGTTTTTCAAGAAATTTGCTTGCAATTTGGCAAAATTAAGACAAATGAAGTTGATAGTAGAGATTAAGATGAAATTAAAAATTAATATTTCCTTTATTATTTGTTGACTACTGTTCTTATTTTTCAACTTAGTATACCTCATCTCGTTTGGTTAAATTTTTGGAAATGGGATGAAAGTGCATTTTTCATTTGTAAAACTTGTGTGGGAATTAATGGAATGGCAAAGGTATCAAAAAGTGTTGCTACCTACATATGCTTTGTGACCTAGTACAGGAAACGATTTTGTAAGATCGCACACTACATAATTATGTAGTGTACGGTCTTACAAAATTGTTAGTGCAATTTAATTTTTAAATACTTGCTATGCTCCCTTAGGCTTACGACAGGATTAAAATTCACTGCCGTGTGTTTGACGGATTAGCGAATTATGAAGCATTTAATTAATTTAAGATGTAACTTAAGAAGCATTTATACTGTATGTGAGTACCCTATGCGCACGTGTTTTGCTGTTGTTGTTATTATTAATTTACGTCGCACTAGAGCTGCACAATGAGCTATTGGCGACGGTGTGGGAAACATCCCGGAGAATGATCCGAAGACATGCCATCACAATTTTGATCCTCTGCGGTGGGGATGGCAC